CTGGTGACACCGCCACAAGAGGCTGGGCAGGGAGTAATCCCTCCTCCCACGGTTCCTTGCCTGCAGAAAGCTGCGGCACCCAGTCAAGCGCCAGGGAAACACGTCCAGGTGGCCCAAGATATCCGAGATAGGCTTGACTTGAGAGGGGAAAACAAACACGATGCAATAAGAATGGCTAGCTGGAGTAAATAGTCTGATTGATTGATAGGGACGAACGCGCGCCACCAGCCGATGGGATCAATCAGTGGGTACACGGAACAACAAGCCAGTGTGACCATAAACTGCCTGGGTGCATAAGAGGGAACTGTTGTATTATTGGAGAATAGAAAATGTGCAGCAATGCAATAGACGAGGATTAAAGGATAGATCCCGTCGATAGATGGATGGTCAATAATAGATGATCTGATCCTGGTGGAAATAATACGTACTCTGTACCTCTTTCCCTTTGATAGACCGACACACCTAAGGTGGAGTGGGGAAGATGTAAGAGTAAGCACAAGACAAGACTGAAAGTTTAGACTAGATACCGCAGGATTTGATAGATAGATACGGAGTAGTAGTAGATGATTCCTGGCTTCTGCCTGAGAGAAGGGGGAGGGGTAAGCGATCACACCTACTGAGACAGTGACCAACCGTGGAGAGGGCTGCTGGCGGGAGGCGGCGCCACAGGAACTCTGATTGGCTGCTGGCCCTCGGATCACAGTCCAACCGGGTGAATCCGTGAGCACTGCGAACAGGAAGATGCAAGTGCAACAATAGGATGGAGTTAGTTATCTGAGTTATCTGAGTCATATCAGGGAACCATTTACTAAAGTAACCTGATAAATACCATCTCTGATGAATTTGACGATGAAGATGTGGTGAACTCATTATCAACTAACCCCAAGTCAAGTGCTCCCTGCAAAGCCCACTCGAACAATGAACATATAGAACTTCTCGGATAGCGCGGGCAGATTTACCTGAGCCATGAGATGAGAGAGTCAGGAGCATGACTATTGACTATAGTCCTTGATACTACCTACTCATAGGTGAGAGAGACAAGGTCTTTCTTGCAAGATCTACCAATGGAATCCTGGAAACGCTTCTGCAGTCTAGCCAGAGTCAAGGGTAATGTGCAGTAGTCTGCCGCCAGCAGGATTGCGAAGCATCAAGCGATATGGACGGAAGGGCGAATCAGGATCATTCTGAATCCCTAGTCACAAGATATCTGATATCAGGGTAGTATCTTCCGATCCCGTATCATTTGCCTAATAATAGCCGAGACATTATGCGACGGAGAGTACGGAGTCCTATTCTCCATAGTCCATACTCTTCTGGATAGCTGGAATACGGAGAAAGCTGCTCGGTGGGCCTATTCAGTCACTAGTGCTATGATTCCAAATGATGTCGTCAAAGTATGTTGACAAATCAGCTCAAGAATGCCGACATCCTATTGTCCTTATCTGATGTGTGGAGAGCTGGAGACTATTGTCAATAGCCCCAGATCTCTGATCAGTAAAGGCAAAGTAAATGGCTAGAGCTTGGCATGTGGAGGAGTAGCGACTCAAAGGATCAATAAACAGTACCTTTGTTGAGCGAGTACAATGGGATAGTATTCTAGCCGACAAGCGATCATCACGCGGCTTTGGTGGGATTTGCACTTCAGCATGGATGGACTATTATGGCGTCATTCTGTAAGTGCGAAGAAACTGGCGCCTTTCCATTTCAGGCCCTATCACAAGACGACGATACGCATTCGCTCCTGGGTTAGAGAACTGATTCTGATTCATCTCAGATAATCTTCTGTTCACTGTTCCCTCTGTTTTCGAGTTAGTGACGCTGGACGGATATGGCGTACTCAATCCCGCCAGAGAAATAGCTAGCACAAAAGCTACCTCCCAATCATCGGAAGCCAAGGATAGAGTTGAGGATGTGCTACTCAATGTCGCAGCGTCTAACGGACATGCAGCGTATAGTTGCACATCCCCAGTGCTACCTAAGCTTTGGGTGATCTCTCGGCCACTCGGCTTCCAATCTCGATCCATTCCTCACTCGCCTCGTGGGCTATCGAATCAAGTATCAGGACGTACAAAGAGCACTACCCACGTCTATCACGGTCCAGGCATCCTAGAAGGGCAGATGACCTGCGAAATTATCGGTATTAGACTTTGGTGTAGTCTTGGAGAGGGTCACTTGAGCGGGCACTAGAGTCGATCAGGACCGTGCACGCATACTCACATTCCAGACTGTCTCACCTTGATGACGGCTGTGCCACCTTCTGTTTGCCTCTTGCTTTCTGAGTAGCCCGTCGTTCTTCGGATAGACGTCATCAATGGAGTTTGAAGAGTTGGCTGAGAGGAGATAATGAAGGGATTTCACTAGCGTATTGATTCTCTAGAATGCCTCTTTCGGGTGAGTGGTATTCCCGGTGGCGTAGATGAAAAGGCCTCGCTCTGGAGATTGGGCGAATATTGTGAGACAAAACATGCAAGTCATTAGAAAATAGATCCAGTCTGCTGCTTTGTGCGTTTGGTGACTCATGTTCTTCAGATCTGCGTCAAGACGACTCATCTCGACAATCCGAGCATTCGTCCGATGAAAACTGACAGCTTGATCGACTAGCCTCACAGGCAAGATGATAAAAACAGGCATCCCGTAGCAGTATCAAGAAAGTAGATGTCACCAAAGAGCAGGACACTGGCCCATGCTGGCATTGACTTGTCATTCCAGTTGATAGGCATGAAGTCTGCAATCAAGCAGCAAGATAGTTCACTGGGATTCAGAGATTCACAGCACCACAGCGCTGGCGACTATTCCAGAATAACCTGACGGGCAGTGGCTGCAGAAGTGCCTCGTTGTATGCTACTGCCAAAGAACAGGAACTCGCTCAGAAGCCAAAGCCTGAACACTCATAAGATCCCCGGCAGTGTTGAAGTCAGCGTATTGCAACCCAGGATGACCATGGAACCAAATTTGCTACCTACCTACTCCGACCTTTGGCATAAATTTAGATTAGAAGTTGTGCTTCCCCTTCGCTGACTGTACGAGGCCTGGTACTCGATTAAAGAATGTCTTTCTTTAGACGACTCAGTACTACCTCATTGATTCGGCAACCAGAGTTCAATCGAGCACCAATCAAGACTCTGCGAAATCCCTTTGTCGCATGGCAACCTAGTACCTCAATGATCTGTCAATCATGTATTCCAGCTTCGTGGCGAACCTTACCTAGGAACAACTAGAGTTCGTCCATGATTTCAACGTGTTTAGTACAGTGGCAGAAAATAAACTCACAGCCAAGATTGTCATCCAAACTTTATTTTTGTGTATTCATCACGCCTCCTCTATGTAATCTCAGTAGTTATGGTCGAGTCCCGGCCGAAATGAAAGTAAGCAGAATGTTGATTTGGATACTGTTGCACATCATATTAGTGATTCATGAGTCACGACAGATGTGGCGAGAGCTTTGGGTACATTTTGCATCCATTGTCTCCCTTGGACTCTTTCCATAAGGTATCAATTGATAGATCGATTTCGAATGCGAATTACTGAGGTAGATAACAATCTCATGCAAAGCACGGAGTAGTCTCCAGAGACTCACTCATCCTCGAGTCATGACTAATGACTATTGAGTCTTTCCGCAAGGAAGCCCTAGTGGACGTCTAGGCTCTGGATTCGACAACACTCCGAATGCCAAAATTTGATATTCCACTTTGACAGAATCAGTTTTTTATTTTTAAAGATCATGACCTACAGTAACTGTTAGAGATATTTGCCTTATGCAGAAATCATGTTCCTTGGACGATGCTATAATAGGCAATTCAGTCTATGCCCAGATGGAACAGGACAACCCCACAAAATACAGCCAATGATCACTAATTCTCACTACCCCACTGGTGTACGTACCTTGCTTTAAGGGTTCGCTGGAAAAACCCACACTCGATTTCTAATCCAGAGACACAAATAGAACACCGAACAATTAATCAAACATATGCAATTGAGATTAAACAGATCACTATTCTGTGTAAATATATGCAAAGTCTAATTCCACAATATTATATTATTATGATTCATGAACGTTCATTACTCCGCATTTGACCACGCCATTATCATTGCCATCAGCGAATGCATAACAGGGTTTGCTTTTCTTGCAGGATGTCCAGTCCAGTGTCCAGTGTCCAGTGTCCAGTGTCCAGACCTACCGAGTGCTGAATCCTCGAATCTTAGTGGCTGCTGGGGGATAGACGCAAGGTTCCATGGATGGCCGAGCCCTTGAGGACCCACAGTCGAGGTCAGCTGCCAAACTTGATTTTGCGGTGGAGTAAGAAGACTAAAGAAGAAGAGAAGAGGGTCGAGAAGACTCCCGAGTAACCAACCGCTAGCTGGTCACGCAATTCTGCTGAGACTCGGATATTCGCCAGAACAACACGAAAAATAGGTAGCAAAAGTAGAAGAATCGATCAGAATATTAGCATGTCACATCGATTCAATGACTGTCTTTTAACAATGAAGATAGTGTCGACTGTCGAGTCAATGTGAGAAGGATCGTGGTCTAGACTCTGGGATCATCCGCACGCAGAATTTGCCCGCTTAGTACAATCACTAGTCCGCCCAGCTTAGGCCCCGGCTTGACTGTTTTGGGTCTCCCGGCCCATCGTATAAATCTTTGTCCCTCCGGCAATCCTCCCCTTCGCTGCCCCTCGCCGTTCAAGATCTCTCTCTCTCTCTCTCTCTCTCTCTCCAGATCACTCCATCCTCAAGCTCTCAAGTATCACCATCGTGATTCACACCTCCCAACAAAGATATCACTATTGCCACTCAATGACATCACCTGATCTGTTGCTCTGACGCGTATCGCCATACGCTCGACATCATCCCAGTCGGGAAATCAAGGAATCAAGCCTTGTCATACGATTTCCATCTCTATCATATTTGAACTGAACACCTACTCTGTTCATCCATCCAATTAATCCATCCATCCATCCAATAATACTATGGCTGTCACACTATCCACCACTCCCTCCATGAACAAGCGCTGGCCCCCTCTGGCCGACAAGACCTCCCTCCCCTACAAGCTCACCACCCTCTCCAAGCAAAAACTCGCCCGCGAGGCCACCGCCCCCGACCCGGATATCAGACGATGCCTCGGCCACTTTCGCCTCCACTGCACATCCATGGAATGGGCCCAGCGGGATATGACCTCTCGCATCAACTCTTTTGATCTCGATTCCGACTCGGAGGAAGAGGAGGAGGAGGAGGGCACCCACGATGAGGAGGTTTCAAAGCAGCCTGCACCAGAGGTGGAGGTCGCGCCTCTTGCCGAGAAGGACGACGTCGCTACTTCCATTGAATCCGACGCTAAGGCGGAGACGACTCTCCATGTGAGCTTTGAAGTCGTATCAAACGTCCCTGCGTCCACTGCCTCGACACCCACAACAGAGCAAGAAAAAGAGAGCCTCCTCGAAAAAGGCCGCAGTTGTCTGGAAAAGACAGTCCAGATGAAACACTTTTGGCCTGCTCGTGGGCCTTGTCTACCTGTTCGCATCGCCGGTTAACCTGGCTTTCTCGCTCATCATCCTTTTCTTTTCACACTCGACCCTTTCAACCCTCTACTCTTCCGGCATCCGACGAAAAGGAAACAAAAGTTCCTCTCCCATCTTAATACGCTTATAATCACGAATTTACGACGTTACGACACTCTCTTTCAGTTCAGTTCAAAATGGGGAAGCAAAAGCATTAGGTACAGCATACCTCTTGACGAGGATTGACGGAGTTGGAATCGGATTGAATGTATTTATACGCCATGCATCTGGCATCTGGCATCTGGCATCTATCTTATAGTATATAATATAAAATATAAAAATCATAAACCAACACAACCAACTCCCTTCCCTCTCCTCAAGCCCAAAGGTAACCCAGTCATACTCACATCCAAATACCCGGCTCAGCGTAAGCATGACCCCCGGCCAAGAACCTAGTTACCAGCTAACCCAGACCAACAACCCAATAATCGCATGACCTCGTCTTCCACAAAGTTACGACCAGCGTGATCTCCACAGATCGGCCTCCACAATCCGGATTGCGGACTGCGGACTGCGGATGCGACTCATGGTCATTTCATAATTCGTTCCCATGTGGGAACTGAACGGGAAGTAGGGGTATTTATCCGTCAATCATCTCTCAGTCTCAGTCTTAGTCTCACTTTAGTTGAGTCATAAGTGCATGTCCATAGCTAATTGAGGCTTCATTGGGTCCAGCTTCTGGCTGCCAAGGTCGAAGAATCGTACTTGATTGCATAATGCCAATGATGGACATTATGACTTGTTCATTCATTCCACTGTACTGAATAGACGAAATGCAAGTGACTAACCATACAACCTAAGCATATAACACCATCCCATGCACAAATGACCGTAAGAACGCCCGCGAGAACCAAAATCATCAAGCAAGATCATCGTCCCATCCCAATTGCTCATAAATAGACTTCTCCGGCGTCACTGGCCCCGCCAGGACGGCCGGCATGGCCGGTCTGGCGCTACTCTTCACCGGTGTGGTGAGCACGGCCGCGGGAGAGGCGCCAGGCATGCTCTCTTTGACCACCGGTACTGCGGTGCTGGGCCTCGGCGGTGTCTCCATCCCCAGAGATGATTTGACACCAATGACTTGATCGAGACTAGGAGCTGCATCGACGGACCGCGGTGCGATCGGTGTGGACGGCGCAACGTCGGTGGATCTAGGGATCGGGCGTCTAGGGACACGGAATAGGGTCTTCGCTACACCCGGGGACGTGCCCAGTCCCAAAGTCTGCGCCGGCCGTCGAGATGGCGTTTCCTGGATAGCACCCGTATCCCCCAGGCCCGGGTCAGGAGCAGCCCTGGGTCCAGAGGCCGAAGTATTGGGGATGAAGCTGGGTCGCAGTGTAGATGCAGGAACCACCTGTGGCTCACTCGCAAATGGTGAGGATCCGTTCTTACTTGCAGACGACCGCACAATATTCTTGAATGGCGGAGGCAACCCCGTGACCGCGTCCTTCTTGCGGTTTCCCCTCGGGGTGGCCATGACCTGCACGCCTTGCCCGAACGGGTTACGGACGGGGTTCTTGGGTTTTCTCGAGCTGCCGCCCGATGCCCGCTTGTCTGCATCCTCTGCGATATCCTTCGCGACCAGTTCGCGATTGGGCTTGCGGAGGGCGTTGATCGCCGCGTCGAGCTCCTTCTTCTGCTCCATAAGCATTTGCACCTTCTTCAGCTTGGCTTCGTGCTGACGAGCCACCGCGTTCAGATCCACTTCGCGGTTTTCCGCCCGTTTCGGCTTCTGGATGCCTCCCCTCGCGCTGACGCTGAGCACCGGCAGCAGCGGCTCCATCGACTCGCGCTTGACCTCGGATTGCGACGGCACAGTGTTGGAGCGTCCCAGAGACGGGTGTCGTCCTTGAGAGGCCGTTTGCTGGTCGGTGAGCACACGCTGCAAGGGTCGCCGCGGATGCCTCTGAGAAGACTGCCGTTCGGTAGGCTTCCCAGGCTCTGTGCGAGACGTCTTCTTTGTGCTGCTGGATTGTTTCGCCAAGGGCGATATCGCGCCAGAGACGCCGAGCTTGCGAGTGATCAACTTGCATCTGTCCGGCAGACGCGAAGCATAAAATGGAACGATGACCTCGGTGCAAAAGTCCCGGACGGCGTCGCTCTCGATCTTCTTACCCGATTGACTGTCAAAGGACTTTGCGGACTCTGCCAAGGCTGTGTCGTCGGTACTGACGGCGTGCCAGATGCACAGCCGGTCAAGGTGAAGTTCGAGCAGCACATCCAGATCCTGTGGCTTTTTCTTGGATTTGGTCTTGGTATCGTCCGACGGCTTTGCGGAAGAATCGTCGGTCTTTGATGTCTCACCAGGTCCGCTCATCTCCAGGGCCAACGTCTCCAAAATGAGCAGAATCTGCAACTGTGTCTCTCGTAGTCGCAAGTCCGCGATGTGCTTCTTGACCTCTGCGTCGTGCGACGACTCTGCAGGCATCCCATTGTCCGCCAGAGCCCGATCTCTCCACCACTTGCGAATGAACCCCTCCTCTTCTGGGTAGAGCCCGTTCTTGCCCAACTTTCGTTTCCTGCTCTTGCGTTTCTTCCGCGCGTCATCATCTGACATACTCAAAAGAACATCTCGAATGGTCAAAGGCAGAGTTTCACGATATTTCAAATCCATCTTCTTTGCGGCCAGAATAGCCTCTCGGTAGAAGTCTGCAAGATGTCTAGGTGTATTTGTAGAAACGGACCCGGAGGCCTGGAAGGCCGCGCGACATCGTGCCAGAGGTCCTTTGGCGAAATATGCCACAGAAGTCTGGGGAAATCAGCACATAGACAACAAAGACAACGGAGATACAAACCTTGGAGACGTAGAGAGCTTGCAGGTAATGCTCCCTCATAGCATCCAGCAGCTCCTGTGGAGATTGCGAGGAATCAGCGGGCTGAGTGTCCCCATTAGCAGCAACATCCCCGAACACAGCACCGTCAGCATCCCGAGAATCGTGCAGCACGAACGGCATCTGCATGTCTGAGCTAGAACTCCTCTCCATTGGCAGCGAAGGAGGAGCCATCGAGAGCCTTTGCTCGAGCGAATCCACAGGCGATATCTCTTTCAATGTCACGTCAACGCGAGCATCAACTGCCGCCTTATCAAAGACAAGCGAAACATCGATCTTCGCGCGCTTGGCAGATGGCGGAGTAACGGATACCGGATCATCGATTCTGGCCTGCTGCCACCACTCCTCTCCACTCTCTGCTCCCAAAGGGAGGTCGGACAAAACCCCCTCCCCGCACCCGGTAGACGGGTTCCATCCTTTGACCGCAACAAAGATATCTCCCTCCTCCACACCACGAGCCAGCTTTGACAGAGCATAGATACCCCTCTTCACCCGCTCAACAGCGTACAATTCCCCATCAGGAACCAACCGCACAGCCAGAACGCACGGCTCAGTCCGACTCTGCAAGCCCTCCTCCAAAATAGGAATGTTGGCGACGAACAGACTTCCGCTCTGGATCTGCGACAGTGCGGCCGGCGAATCGAGCCATGAGAACGGTAGCCGGGATCGCGGGACGACGGCGATGGGCTCGAGGACGTACGGTTCGTCTGATAAAGCTGCGGCGTGGGCCTACATCGGAGCCAGTTAACGAACGTTCTGCTTCTGTAGCTGCTGTTGAAACGGCGAAACTCACCCTGATACTGATGATCTGGCGGGAGAGTTCCCCTGTAGCTGCGTGATATGTCTTTCGCTTCTTCAGGGGAGGATGAGTCGTAGAGGGATCATGGAGTCTGTTCAGCGAGACCGAGCTGAGGGTCTCGAGCACGCCAGAGGAGCGACGCGAGGCCATGGACGCGTCTATCGGGAATCATGCATTATGTTCTTGAATTAGAGAAGGATGGACTTGTTAGAGCAGACAAGAGGCGGTCAATTAATTCAACAGTACAATTGGAACTATTTTCGGTTTGCTGTTTGGTGAAGAGTTTGGAAAGAGGTCAGATAGGTCAAATGCGACTTTTGGCCGGTGGGGAAACTCCTTCACGGTTGTCGCGAAGACAAGCTTGGCGTCCGTCACGCGTCTCGTTGCAGCGACAACAACCGGAATGTCTTCAAGGCTGCTTGGTTGCGAGCATGTCGAGGACAGGATAATGAATCGGAAAACATTGACTGTCTCATGCTGTCTTGCTTGTCTTGCTTGTCTTGTTGTTTTATGTGCGAATTACCGACGTCGCGAAGCGTAAAGTAGCCTCACGCGTCACAATTTCCACTTTGGGTAAAATGGCATGATACTTCTACATTTCAACTCATCTTCAGACATGTTGACTACAAAGTAACAAGATATGAATAAATGTATCCTTGAATTATTCTATATAGCTAATGTTTAGATTAGCTTGAGACAACGGTTGAAGAAGACCAAGCTTCTTTCAACAAGCCATCGACATTTCTCCTTCTAGGAGACATCATCCGGAGCACATGGATCCATGTGCGCCAGTCTGATCTAGCCAGATAGCATTCGTAGTCTAGTAGATGGCCTCGGAGGAGGCATGTGTTGAAGACTTTCGCTCCCTGAAACGCCGAAAACATCCCTTCCCAATAGATGAAAGTGGTATCATGTTGAATTTATCCTCGCCCAAACCCGCCTCCTTTTTGCAGGCGACCATGCAGATATGTCAATAAATAAAAAGTCCAAAAGAAAAGCTTTTTCGAAATATGTCTATGCTCTCATGCTTTGAGTTGTTGAAAACAAAGCAAAATCATCACATTCGTCAAAAAAAAAAAAAAAAAAAGGAGACAACAAGTCCGACACGGTCACTCAGGACACATTTAGAACTTGAGAGTCTTGGGCTTCTCCCAGGAGAAGCTCTGGTTGGTGAAGTGACCGTTCTTGGCAGTCTGGAAGTAGATGGGCTTGGCAAGGTCGAGCTCCTTGACAATGACACCGGGGCGGAGGTCGAAGTTCTTGCGGATGATCTCGACGAGCTCATCCGAGGACTTGTCAGAGGTACCGTAGGTCTCGACGAAGATGGAGAGGGGCTCGGCGACACCGATGGCGTAGGAGAGCTGGACAAGGACACGGCGGGCAAGGCCGGCGTGAACAAGGGACTTGGCGATCCAACGACCGACGTAGGCAGCAGAACGGTCGACCTTGGAGTAGTCCTTACCGGAGAAGGCACCACCACCGTGGGCACCCCAGCCACCGTAGGTGTCGACGATGATCTTACGGCCGGTGAGACCGGCGTCACCCTGAGGACCACCGATGACGAAGCGGCCAGAGGGCTGGATGTGGTAAACGGTGCGGTCGTCCAGGAGTTCAGCGGGGATGACCTTCTTGACGATCTTCTCCTTGATGACAGTACGGAGCTCCTCAGTGGTCACATCATCGCTGTGCTGAGCAGAGACGACGACGGTGTCCACACGCAGGGGCTTGACGGCACCGCCATCGTGAGCGTACTCGACGGTGACCTGGGTCTTGGTGTCGGGACGGAGCCAGGGGATGGAACCGTCGGTACGAGCCTGCTTCATAGCAGCGTTGAGCTTGTGAGAGAGCAGGAGGGTGAGGGGCAAGAGCTCAGGGGTCTCGTCGGTGGCATAACCGAACATGATACCCTGGTCACCGGCACCGAGCTTCTCAAGAGCCTCATCGTAGTGGAGACCCTGAGCAATGTCGGGGGACTGCTGCTCAATGGCGACAAGGACGTTGCAGGTCTTGTAGTCGAAACCCTTCTCGGAGTCGTCATAACCAATGTCCTTGATGGCACCACGGATAATCTTCTGGTAATCCAGCTTGGCATTGGTGGTGATTTCACCAAAGACCATGATCATACCTGAGCGGAATTAGCATAGAACGCCGTTTCAGAGAGGAAGAATGAACATACCAGTCTTGGTAGCAGTCTCACAAGCAACCTAGACGGGGACAAGTTAAATTCATTGATTCGCACGGCAAAATTTGGCGGAAATGGGCCCGGTCCAATCAAACGGAGAAAATTTTTTGGAAGGGGGGAAGTAATGTACCTTGGAGAGAGGGTCCTCGGCAAGGCAGGCATCGAGGACGGCATCAGAGACCTGGTCACTGTTCAATTGTTAGATGGATTGAATGAATTGAAGGTAATGAGAATTTGAGAGACTCGTATAGGACACATATACCATAAGAGAGGGGTAGAACTCACGCAATCTTATCGGGGTGACCCTCACCGACCGACTCGGAGGTAAAGAGGAAAGTGTTAGACTTGGCGACGCTGCCCATTGTGAATTGAGGATGTGAATTAAGATGGAAGAAAGAAGAAAAAAAGAGAGGAGAGATGAGGATATGAGAGAGGTGGATAGACGGGGAGATAAGTACAGAAGGGGGGGGGGAAGTGGATGAGTATGAAAAATGGATGGAGGGGGAGAGGGAAAAAGGAGGAGGGGATTTTGGCCGTATTAATGAGGCCCCGATGGCGCCATCCTACTCCGGCGGTGGGCTGCGGCAGAAAAGAGGGCTGCTCTCCCACTTTTTACCCGGAGTCCGAAGGCATCCAATCGGTGCCGATGCTGATGGCTGAGGATCAGGAAGCAGTCTTACGCGGAGTACCTTGACAGTGCTACAGCTGTCTTTAGTTCCAACTTTCCAATATTACTTTTTAGTCAGTGCGCAGTCAGCGTGCATAGGCTATTGCAAGTTGCAGATGGTGTACCACGAGTCGACCTACTAACCCGAATAACCTGCCTAGCGCATCCATCCTACACCGCGTATAACCTTCTATCTTCACAACTAAGAGAAAATGTCGAAATTCGGGGTCCTGGTCATGGGCCCTGCGGGCGCCGGCAAATCGACCTTTTGCAGTGCCCTCATCCAGCATCTCCAGACCACGCGCCGAAGTTGCTTCTATGTGAATCTCGACCCGGCCGCCGAAAGCTTCAACTACGAGCCCGATCTGGACATCCGCGAGCTGATCACCTTGGAAGATGTGATGGAGGAGATGGAGCTGGGTCCCAATGGCGGGCTCATCTACTGTTTTGAATTCCTCCTGCAGAACCTGGACTTTTTGTCCCAGGCGCTGGACCCGCTGAGCGAAGAGTACCTGATCATCTTTGACATGCCGGGTCAGATCGAGCTGTACACGCATATCCCGCTGCTGCCGTCGCTGGTGCAGTATCTTTCGCGACAGGGTCCGCTGAACATCAATCTGTGTGCGGCGTATCTACTCGAGAGTACCTTTGTCGTGGACAAGGCCAAGTTTTTCGCGGGGACGCTGAGCGCCATGTCTGCGATGCTGATGCTGGAGATGCCGCATGTGAATATTCTGAGCAAAATGGATCAGGTGCGGGATATGGTATCGCGGAAGGAGCTCAAGCGATTCGTCAACGTCGATGTGAACCTATTACAAGACGACGAGGAGGATGCGGAAGAGACAGCCGAGGGAGACCCCAGTTCCAAGGAAACTCTACTGAGCGGGGGATCATTCAAACGGTTGAACCGGGCCGTGGGGCAGTTGATTGACGATTTCAGCATGGTGTCTTTTCTGAAGCTGGACGTTCAGGATGAGGACAGCGTGGCCGCGGTGCTGAGCCATATCGACGACGCGATCCAGTACCATGAGGCGCAGGAGCCGCGGGAGCCAAACGATGAGCAGGATGTGAACTACGAGGATGCCGATATGTGATTCATTCACCTCATCCACCTTATCCACCTTATCCACCTTCATCCATCTACGACATATGAAAGAACCACCGACGTATAGACGTCCGCACTTCGTTCCGTCAATGTGCATATCACCGCGTCGAATCGCATCTCAGCGCAAGCCCACCGGCTCAAACGCCAAAGGCAGACAGAACAGAGCACAGCTCAGGAAACCCAGACCAGAGACTGTACATACCGCGTCAGCGCATAAAACAAACCCAGCAAGCAGAAAATGACATGACCATTATGCATGACTTCGTAAGATCAAGGCCCGGCCCAGCATCAGCCGTACAACAGTTATCCCCTCCAACCCCCAAAAATAACCCCCAAAAAAAATAAATCACAACACAATCACCTCCCCTTCCTCTCCCGCCTATATCCAGAACCATATCCATACCC